GCTACGGGAGTCCCAAGAGGGAGATAATGTCTTCCTCCCTTGCATACTCCCACAAACAGCCACTTCAACAGTGACTGGTGATTCACCAAGTACAGCTGCCTGACTCAGAACTGGCATGATAGTACAACACACTCTGGACCTTCCAAGGGAGTAGGGACTGTGTCTCACTCATACTGGCAGATAATAGAGCGCCTGACACATCAAAGACACTAAACAAATATTGATAGAGGAAGGCAGAGAGGCAGTGTGAATGAATGATACTCAAAAGAAAAAAATCCCAAATGTTTCAGTGAAGCTGAACATGCAGCAAAATAAACTAATATGCTTTTTTATTCATTCTAGCCTACATTCATTCAACAATATTTATTGAATGCCTAGTTAGTGCCAGCTATTCTACTTGGTGCCAGTGACTGGCAGATTCATTATATTTGAGTGGAAAAACAGGTCTATATGGAATGTCCACTTTAGTGGGGAAGATGGAGGACGCACAAGTAGTTGCATGTGAGCTGGTGCTACTAGTGGGGCAGGAGAGAGTAGACCTCCCCTTGTCAAAGCAGGGAGGAAATGCAAAGGAGAGAGGAGAAAAGGAAGGAGACTAAAGAATCTTCAACAAAATCCATGTGCCCCTGCAGCAAGGAACTCATTGTAAAGACCAATGTACTTAGGACATTAGTCACTCTTTAAAGTGATGGCAAATGCTGGTATAACAAACAGATATCTTTTATGCGCAGTGGTATTGACATGCATCCAGCCAAGAAACCCAACATTCTCATTTGACTGACTCACTTGACAGACTCAAATGCCTGAGCTCAAGTGCAGGCTGATCTCTTTGACCTTGGCACCAACATATGAACTATTCAGTATTTTTTAACAAGCACTGGAAAGTGGTAGGTTTTTGTTTGGCTTGGCTTTCACAGATATCTTTTGTCTTGCACCTGGAATTCAATATAATATTTTGTGCCAGGCATTCAAGCTCAAGAGAAAAGAATGGCAGAGATAAAGGTTGAGGAAGAAAGGCATTTGAGAAATTATCAAGATAGTTATACAGACACTCAAATGTTAAATGAATCTACTTTAAAAAGGGGCCCAGAAATTAGTTACAATATTGACTTAGAATAAATCAACTTCAAGTTTAATTAGTTTGAACATCAAGGTGGGCAAGAGGGAAACCAAGGTGCCCCAGAATTTGATCAGACATAACTCTTTGATTGGGCCCCTATTGTGACCATCCTGGCCTGCCCAACACCAGAAGTGAAGACACGGATGCTGATCTCCACATCTGCAAAACGGAATCTTTGCTACTGAATTGACAGAAAGATGGGAGAGACCTTGAGCTCACATATGTGGAGCACAAGGAGAGAAAAGGACCACAAGGAGAGAAAAAAAACAAACCCTCAAGTAAAATACTCCTTATCACCAGGCACGTCTTTTTATTCAGTTTTTCAGAATTTTTTCTTAGTTGTAAGGAGTTGTATGTAGAAATGTAGAGGCAGACAGTCAAGAATTTCAAACCCAGTCCCACCACATGGGTATCTGCTCTGGGTGAGTTCTTTCATTTCCTCTTAAATGATTTTTTTTTCATCTACAACATAATGCATTGGAAAGGAAATAAAATCACCTACCACCAATAGATGCCCAATAAATGTTTATTACATTTTTTATTCCCTAATAGGAACACAGGGTAAGGACCAAAGCTGTGTTTGTTGTCTTGTGTGTTTTAGCAAGACATGGAGGACTGAAGAACAGCTAATTGGTGATGTGCAAAACACACGTTGAGACACGGGACTGAGCGACCAAAGTAAACACTGGCCTTTCAGCAGCAAGAAAGGAAACACAAAAGACACAATTCTTTGGGGACATTGTTTCTTTCTCTTTTGCATTTGAGACCTATCTCTGTGGTTCTCCTACAAGACCATTGCATCTGCAAACCAGTGTCCAAGCTCAAGTACGCTCTATGAAAAAGTTGGATGCTGCACACAGCTATCCAGTCACACAGGTAGGTTCCCTCACTTCTTCTCATGTCAGTCTTTCCTCCATGACTACAGGTTCCAGAGGCTTCTTACAATACAAGTTGCTGCTGCCCTTATGTGCTCTCACCCTGGGTCAAGCAAGCCTATGTTACTCTAATTTTGCTTGTTATTTCTCGTATGAAAGGCAAGATCGAGAGAAAGGGAGAAGGATGCACATTCCCTGCACAGTTGTGAGCCCCTAAAGAAGTATCCTGCCTGAAAGGGTGTAACTGCAAAACTCAACTGCTAACGAACTAAACGGTAATTCACATACACTCACAAAGTCTCATTCAAAAGCCTTTTATCCACATTTTCTAAAATTCCTATTTGTCAAAAAAAAAAAAAAAGCCAGAAATAGAAGAGATCTTTGTAATGGCTTACCAGTTAGCTGAACTTCAGAAATATTAGGTTTATAAAAATATTACATGGACTATTGCATTTTCCTTATCAACATGACATAAATATAATACAGGTAATAGCATTTATATTATAATAAAATACATGATAAGTCCATCCATCCAATAAATATTTATTAAGTACCTTCTGTAGATTAAGCAATATACTAGATTAACAGAAATGTATATATGGAAGGAGTTTTCACATTCCCTTGAATGGTACTTATCAATATAATAATATGTAGTTCTTGTACACCTACCATTATAGTTACTTTTCATGGACTACTTCTCAAATGTTTTTCCAGTATATCACATTTTATTTTCATGGTATTTTTGTAAATATTGCTTTTCTGCTCTTAGTTCATTCTCTCTTCAAAGATTTTTGGGTTAATCTCCCAAAACAGTCATCTCTAGCTTGAAAAACAGGGGCTCCTCATATAAGATGATTTTATACTCACTACAGAACAATTGATTCGATAGTGTTGGCCTCACATGCCAAGTAGAAAAGAAACATATAGTCCCAGGATGATGGATGCCTCAAATAAAGCCATCCTTTTTCATAGATTCCAGGGTAATTCATGTTTGCAGTGGTATTCAGAGAAAAAGAATGAGGAAAAGGGACAGAAAAGAGAATGACCATCAAAATAACTATAGTTCTCAAGCGTATATCCCTTATTTTTAGATTAAATGAGGGTTTTCTTTTCGATTCACTTAACACGTAAATACTAGTACTTAATAGGTGCTAGGAAAGGACGCAGGTTATTTCAAGTAAAGGTAAGAGAAAAATGTCCCTAGCTAAAATATATATATACACATATATAAATTCTATATCTTTTGAATAATTTAAAAATGACTAAGATGTGACTTTTTTTATTTTAAAAGAATGCTAGTTCATATTACTTGTGCCCATAATCCCACAATAGCTGTGCTAAAATATAGGAACATGGCATCTCTTAAGAGTGGCAAGCAAATCATGTTGCCACCTAGGAAGGCTCTGAAATGGCAGATAATGACTCAGGAAGTGATAAAGGCTGGAGACAAATCATAAATGCAGAAAGGAGGAGACACATGGCATTGGGCATCATCCCACATGCTCCAGAGACAAGAGTTCCTCGAAACTCCTACCACTACTAGCTACTGTTTATTGAATTCTTTTTAAATGCGAGGTACATCCAAAGATGTATAAATATTCTCATTTAATTCCCACAAAGGCAAAACACAGCAGGTGGTATTTTTCTCATTTTATGCATTGGCTAGGACATGAAGCAGGGGAAAGTGACATATCTAAGCTTACATGGTCAGATAATGTGGAACCAAGGTCTAAGCCAAGATCAGGGACTATGTGACTCCAAGACTTGTCCTATTTTGTTAACATCCAGTCAAGTTCACTCTAAAATTCAACATGGGGAAATCCACTTCAAAGAGAAGCAATGCTTCCAAAAACTCCCATTATCTCCAATGGTGGCTCATGTTTGTTGGATGGAAGCTCTAGATGCTCTCTCTATAAAGAGATACATATTTTCACATTTGTGTGTGTTGGAGGAGAGGGGGTGAGGGGGTGTGTATGTGTGTGCACTTTGGGGGCAGGGCAATTTCCAGACCCCTAACTACTATGACTAAGAACCAGCAGCCTTAAAATTGCAGGACCTGACAGGGATGCAGTAGACAGAAATGTTGTTTTGGTCAAACCAACCAGGTTGATGCAAATCGTATAGTATAAACAATTTTTCAGAAGCATAGACTCTGTCCTAAATAGGGGCTAGTCATGACAGTGACCCTAAGTTCTGAAGATATTCACAAAGCACCCAGGCTATAGCCTGATCCTTTGAATGGGAATGAATCAGCGACAGCGTAATAGAGAGTAGGTAAGAACATGGCTACAACAAATGTCAACTTTATGGTTGGGCTGTGCCCTTTGGTCATGACCTTGAAGCTCAAGGAATTGGCTCAGACAGATCGGAACTGAGTGGCCATGTCACAGACAGCCCACAGCCCAGCAGGACACCGCTCTCTACCTCTGCCATCATGACACCACCATCTGCAGCAACTGAGCTGAGATTTCTCAAGACCAAATTTATCACACCCGAGATTCCATTCTTATATAAGAATCACCTGTCGCTGGTACATAAATTTCAGCACCTAGCTGAGCCAAGGGTAATGAAGATTTAAAAGGAAGGGGCCTGAATAAATATTAAGCAGATTTCCTCTCTATGGGGCTGAGTTTTGAAAAATCTTCATGCCCTTATATGTCCCTCAAAGGAGAAGACTGTCATTTTTCTACTTTCAGTCTGCCCCTACTGGGGGTGGAGGGAAGATGCTCTAAGAGCCACAGGCAATTTGTCTTCCTGGAGGTCCAAGCTATGACCCTGGTTTGCTCCAGCTCATGCCTATCCTCACAAGTTTCAATTGTTCTCATCATCAGCTAAATTAACCATAAACTAATGTCTTGACTCACAGTGCTGAAGCTTTAGAGAAATCAGAACAAACCTGGGGCTGTGCATCACTGTATCAAAAACTGCAGGCCTAAGAAGAACTGTAGCAATGGCCGTTGTACTTATACATGTATTTATACAGCATTTAAAGATTCCTTTAGCTTGTGCTTGCTTTGGCAGCACATATACTAAAATTGGAGTGATACAGAGATTAGCATGGCTCCAGCAAGAGGATGACATGCAAATTCATGAAGCAATCCATATTTAAAAAAAAAAAAAGATTCCTTTAGCTTGAAATCTTGGGATGGAGGTTCAAGTAAGTTGTTTGGGAGCGAAAAACGTACCATTTGTAAGTGACAGAAGGAAATAGTTGTCTAAGGAGTAATGAGCTGGAATAACAATGGATAGGAAGGCAAGGCACAGGGAGGTTTCTAACTCAAAAGAAAGCCAAGAAAATTACCTACAGCCTTTGTTTGGTGAAATTTGGAAAATTAAATTAAAACTAGCAAACATCTGGGAAGGGTTGAGTCAGTAACCTTGGGCAAATTGTTCCCTCCTCTGAGTTCCCCTTTGTACAATGTAGGGATAGAATGAAGGCTTCTCCTGCACTAGCATGCCATGAAGGAAGGTAGAAGAAAAGGCCTTTAAAGCCAACATAATTACTCCTCTGTCCAGGGAAATATAAACAACAATAACTCCAACAGCCTTCAGCTCTGCTTTTGAATGAGTTCTTTGCTTCTGTTTGAGAGGTAAAGTAGTTCACTCCTTAGGGAAAATATAAGTGGAATGGTAGACCATGCCCTCTTGCCTCTGGCTTCATTATGTGATTTTGAATTATTATTAACACAAAGAATATTCAATGTAAGTTAACAAGATTTCACCGAGTAGTCACCATGTACCCAAAGCTGCAGCAGGTCCTCTGGGATAGACGAGAAAAACTGCCTGGCAAATTGTTTAGGAGCCTCAAGTATCTCAGTGTTTTCTGAGGTTTACATGTCCATTTTAAAAGTCAAACAGAAAAGTCCATTTTGAAAGTCTATTTTTCATTAACTAATTAAATATTTTTTCTTACATCATTGTAGGGCCTATAATTCTCCTGCCACCGTATCACAAGTGAACCATCACCACATTCACTTGTGTTCATCCCTTCATTGTTTAGTCCCCCCTCTGACTCCCACCTTTGCTATATGCCTCAGTTCTAAGGTCAATTTGCTAGTTTTGAATTTTTCTTAACCTTTTGTTTGGTTTCTCTATATTCGACATTTAAGTGAGACCATCTGGTATTTATCTTTGTCCTTCTGACTAATTTTGGCTAGCATAATCCCTTCCAGCTCCATCCATATTGCCATGAATGGCATGAGCTTGTCTTTTTTGATCAGTGAGTAATATTCCATTGTGTAAATATACCACAACTTTTTGATCCATTCTTCTATTCGAGGGCATTTGGGTTGTTTCCATATCTGGGCTATTGTTGAAAATCTATTTTTAAATGAATTATTACTTCTGTCTATTAATCTAAGCAACTGAATTTGAGCAAACATGCTTGTTTTTAAGCTCTTGCTAATATACACAACTCACGTAGTATGTTGTTTACCTGGTTATGTCTACAAGAAGCCCTACATTGGCATTTATAGATCTTATATTGTTTGTATTCTGTTTGGGTGCCTCTAGATAAAATGTAAATAAAAGTCAATTGAAAAAAATCTGAACTTTCAAGAAATGCATACTTGTTCATTTTGAAGTTGTACTCAAATGTAATCTCTATACGATCTGAAGAAAACTGAATGAATCCTTTTTTGGAAGCTGCTCTACTTCCTGACTGTGAACACTGGTTAATATTTTTACACAGCTATTGAACACTGTTGCTGCTGTTCAAGTTAATTCCTAGCAATGGTCTATTAATCTTTGGCTTATACTTACTTTTCAGATACAAAGTAGAGGGTCAGTTATATGATCTTCCCCATACTATTTTGCTCTCCTTAACAGTTTTCTAAAACAAGTCACTAATCAACTTACTGTCAATGATAATCTTTTCAAAAATATGCTTTTGATGCAAAACAGAACATCTCAGGAAGTAAAGGGGTTTCAAACAAGGTCTTTCTGATGCAAATTATCTGCATCATAACCTGAAAGTGTTACAGGGCAGGGAGAGGGGCAGCCCAAACCCCACAAACCTGCCTATTCTAAATGGGTTCTGCCATCCGCCGCATCAACACAAAACATATGAGACTTTAATAGGAAGGAACTTTAATACAACTAGAAAGTACAGGAAAGGCAAGGAATCTAGTTTCTAAATCAAGCACCCAAAGTTACCCGTCTCCTCATGGGTAAAACTCCATCCAAATGGGATTGGCCCAGAGCAAGGCCCCAAAGCCTGCCACAAGTCTAAAGCATCTTCCAGTGGGGACCCACAGAAAAGGGTCAGAAACAACCAGACAAGCCCAGAAGGAAAAGAGCAAAATCAAAATCAAGACAAAAACCGCCATTGTCACCTCCCCACGGGTCTCTCACCCACATCTGTGTCACCCAGTCTACGACCAAAAGGCAAGCGCAGTTTCTTCACATGTCTTTTCATTGCATGTGCCTCTTCCAGGTCTCCTGGCTCCATCCTGCTTCCTTCCTTCTTCAGTCTCCTCTGCAGCATCTTCTCTCTCTGCTCAGCTCCACCCACCTTTTGGTTGGGGCAGGAAACCTGGAACCTCCCCCTTTCCTGGGGACCACCCTGTTACAATAGTACTGGTCCTAGCTGTTCTGTATGGCTTGTGTGTGCTTTCATTTATATGTATGTAAACACAGGGTATAACCCTTACTGGAATTTGCCACTCAATTCTTTCTAAGCAAGAATTGAAATGGGTGATAAACTCAATGGACTATGGTGAAGGATTATTGGGGCTATGATGATGGGTGTGGTGTGATAACATACATTTGTAGAGGTGTTAACCTATATTCCTAAAACACATAGAGTTTTTCAAATCAAAATTACTCAATGAACATAAAATGAAAAAAACGATGAAAGTATGCAATTCTCATTCATATGAAATACTATGCTGGGTTTCCCTGCTTTTCTTCCAACAACCAAAGCACTATTTTTGGATCTTAGGTGTCATACAATTGGTATCTGAACTATCAAAACACCTTTATGTCACTGCCTTTATGGAGAACACAGTAAGAGGAGAGGCAGGTTTTAGGGTGACCAACAACCCCAGGTTTCCCAGGACTGAGTAGGTTCCTGGGATATGGCACTGGCCATGGGGAAGTTGCAGACAAAAGGAGAAGTTGTTCATCTTACAGATGTTATATTGTTCATAGTTGTAGCTGGGGACACAAGTACAGGGAAGCAAAGTGCTTTGTACATTGAGCCCATTACTAGAACCAGATGTGGGACTCATTCAGTCTTCTGTATTCTGAGAGCACATTTGCATACAGGCAGATCTCCATGTCCTCTCTGCCTTACTTTCACCTGAAACTGTAAGAAAACCCTTGTCATCTCTTACCTTTTCTGGGTGCTCCCATTCCAAAAGTGTTGGGTAGAAATGCCATGGGCATGAGTGTTTGGGGCACTTGGCTGTTATCCCATATCATTCAGGAGGAACAATATTGCCACTTCATGTTTCGAACAGCAGAATGACAAAGGGACTGAGAAATATTATTGCCACAGCTCTTAGAAGTAGAAGAAATACTAGGATAACTTTTGTTTACCCTACCAACTACCTCTAAGAATGACACCCTGGGTCTTAACTTGAGCATATATGTAAATTTATGGATGAAACCAACTTCAATGAATCAAAAGTGACCAAGTGTCCACCTTGAACCATAACAGGTCGAGAGCTCACTAATAATTACTGAGAACTTACTTGGTGTTTGGCTGTGAGCTAGGAACTCTACATCAAAGAGGTCAATTCAGCGTCATGGTAATTTCATGAAATAGCAACTAATGTTCCAATTTTACAGATAAGAAAAATAAGGCAGAGAAAGGTCATGTGACTCAACGAATGTTACAAGTTGATAAATGTTGGAGGTTGGACTTAAACTGAGGCTGCCTGACCCCAGCACCAGTGTTTTCAGCCACCCACTATATCTCTTGTAATAAAAGAAGCTCAGTAGCATAATTCCCAAAGTCCAATCACTTAGCTCTTTGTTGGGATAGATCTAAAACAGGCTAGAACACACATTCCTGAGATGCACAGCTGTGTTGGTCCACCTGTTTAGGTCAGAAGACATGAGACTTTTTGGCCATATCGCATTAAAGGAACTCAAGGAAGAGATTTAATCTATTGATTGATTAAATCCAGAGTGAGATAAATTGCTCTGTCAACCTTCTGTTATTTCTTTAGTACCTTCATTTCTTTCTGAAAAATGTTAATTATATGTCCCAGGCTTCTGTGAGAAATGACTGGATGAAACAATGGGGAAGCACTATGCAAACTGTAAAGTATTTTGTACAATTATCCTATATGTTAAGAAACTTCCAAAATAGCGATTTATTCCATTGCCCTTGCAAAGCAAATGAGACACAGCTGCTAGAATGTGCTGCAGAGAGACAGAAATTCAGCTCTTAAAAACATTCAAGAGGGAAAACACACACCATAAAATTACCCTGAAGATGAATTTTACAAGAAGGACGGAAGTGTCATCAAGTTTTTCTGTGGTTAATTCTAAAAGCGTGCCAGCATCACAAAGATCAACCAAGGATGTTCTTCCACAGAAACCTGGGGTAACACACTGTAATGACACTTGCATAATCATTAAAAATATAAATTATATTCCTATAAGGAGGAGGCGTGAGATAACCAAGCATACTGGCTCTTCTCAATCTTTTTCAAACAGAAGCATGCAGGAGGAAAAATAAAGAGGACTTGCTCTAAAGAAAGATTTTTTTTAAGAAAAGAAAAAAGAAAGTAACCAAGAATGAGGTGTTCCTGGAATGCTATGAAGCACTGAGTGACTCAGCATTTGCCAAAGGGCAGCAACAATTAAATGAGTTTGTTGAAAGAATTCTAATAAAATCAGCATTTCCCTGTAATCTCAGAACAAGATTGCACCACTGAAGAAAATATTCATCAGTGCATCTAGGGGGCTGTGGTTTGATGGAAGTTGCTTGGGGCTAAGGGAACTCAGGGATAAGTCAGATTCCTTAGACAAAGTAGACTAAAGCTTGAGGAAGCCAGAATGCTTTTTTTTTTTTTTTCCTTCTCCCCAAATGCTTACATTGATTTCTTTTTTGTTCTGGAATAAACTCAGGTGTAAAATTTTCTATTTTGAGTATTC